CACTTGTTATGCATCTGAGATCTGGACAATGAATAAGGATGACAGAAGAACTGATGTCTTTGAGCTGTGGTGGTGTAGAAAGTGCAGCCAGAATATTCTGTAGAGGCAAGGATGGCAAAGCTTCTTCTTGCATCTTCTGGGCTTGTTAGAAGGAGCTATTCTTTGGAAAGGGATATCCTGCTTAGAAAGGTGGAGGGTCAGTGAAAGAGATGACACTCAAGGAGATAAACTGACACCGTGTCTGTGGCAATAGGCTCAGGTATATCAGAGGGAATGAAAATAGTGGAGGATAGGATAGGGTTCAGATCTGCTGTTCAGTGTTGCTATGAGTCATACTTGACTCCATGGCACCTAACAACAATATTTCCATCCCTCCTCAGGCATTTCTGGGGTACTTTTCTCACTTTAACCACTCAGAGTTAGGTGCACAATCATCTTGATCATTTTAAGGCAGGTGAGAACATCTTTGGTCACTCAAGACTATGTCACTGGGTACCAGCTATAGGCTTAGGAATCTGTAAAACTCCCTGAAGTTTAGACCAGCTGGCCTCTTTTAGTCCCCTGGTGTATGGTCACATGGATGAAGACATCCACTGCCCATACAGCCTTTCTGTTGTCCAGTTACCAAAGCCAAATCCCCACACTAGGGCTCTGCTTTTAACATTGTCTGGACAGCCCTTCTCTGAATTGTCATCTCACAATAAGCCTCCCAGTGTCCCTGTGGGTTAGTTAATTCTCTAAAATGGCTCACAAAATTCATGGAGACCATTATTTATACTTACAGTTAACCATTTATCACAACCAGAAAGGATATACATAAAAAGATGCAGCAGGCAGGGACTGGAGAATTCCTAGCACAAAGACATATTGCAAAAAGTCCCCCCAAAAAGGGCTCCAACATTCAGAGTCTCTTATATCACTAAGACATCAATGTAGATGCATAACTGGAGCTTCAATACCTGTGCCTCAATCAATGATCACACCCCACCCCCTTTCTGAGGTTAATAGTCAGTGCAAGGTCTGTGCTTATCCTACTTTACATATGTTTAAGTGTTGCCATACTGTTTTACAAAACAAAATACACCTTGATTATTCAGGAATTCCAGGGGCTATTTTCAGAAAACAGAAATAAAACACAAGTTCTGATCTCAATGCAAAGCCTTTGGGCTTCTCAAACCATCAGCCTGATGGAGGGTTGAACAGAACTTAGCATTAGGTAAACTGGTGAGGTAAATGGAGGGAAAAAGGATGCCTAACAGATGGGTCGGTGGAGACAATGAAAGCTGGGTAAGCACAATGTAATTTGAGGTCACAGTGTTCCAACATTCTGTGGGAGAGGCGAGATGTTTAAACAAAAATGGGAAAGGGATTCTGTGACCACAATCACAGAAGAGGGCTTGGGGTTACATGTATTAAAGGCAGTATCAAGCTAAAAATGGGCTGTTCTGGTGGTATAGTGGGGAATGCCTTGTACAGTTAACCAATATCAAGCTAAAATTTTGTAGGTTACTAGTCTTTTAAATAGACTTTCTAGAATTAACCTAGGAGGTCTGGTGACTTAGTGGTAAGAAGTTGCACTGCTCATCCAAAGGCACATGGTTTGAATCTACCAGCTGCTTCGTGGGAGAAAAATAGGCAATCTTCTTTAGTGCAATATATGCCCCTGAAAATCCATCCGCTGGTGGGTAAACTTAAGTCATTTCCCACTTGACAGTATAAGAGTTAATTTAGCAAAGAATTTTCTAAAATATCGAGGCATTATCCAAAGATCATCTTGGTAATGATTTTCCGACAAGTATTTCTTCATAAATCACATTTTTGCCTTCGTAATTTTTTTTACTAAGTATAGTTTTCTAAGAAGCTACATGTTACAAGGCTCTAAATCACAGGCTCTATTCTTAGGAAAAGGAGCGCTGGTAGCCTAGTGCTTACTTTGTTTTCACTAACTCCAAGAGCAGTGGTTTGATTACACTAGCCTCTCTTCAGGAGAAACAAGAACAATCAGCTAATATTAATATTTACAACCTCAGAAACCCAAGGCTATGAACTAGAATGGACTAAAAAAATGGAGCTTTGATTCAGAGCTGTTTGTTAGGTGCCACTGAGTCAACTTAAACTCATACTGATCCCATGAACAAGACTGAAACCCTGCCAATCTGGTACCATACTTACAAAGCCTTCTGTGCAGTCACTACGTCAATCCATCTGGTTGAGGTCGGCCTCTCCTTCACCGACCCCTCTATTTTTCAAAGCATAATGCTCTTTTCTAAAGACTAGCCACTCTTGATAACATGCCTAAAATAGGTCAATTATTCTCAATCACGTCAAACACAAGTTTTGAATATACCCTCTCATAAAACAACCAATATGTGTCATGTCAGACAGTATATATTTATGGGAGAAATGAAAGGTGATTGGCAGAGTTCTGCTTCTTAACCTAGATGGTGGTTTTTCTTGACACAGGAGATTTTTGTTTTGTAATATGTTACTTTGGACAGTATGTCTGTTATATTTCACAAGTAGAAAAAAGGAAACAGATTGGGAGATTCTTCAACTGTATTAATTAGGCATGATGTCTTTTAAAAATAAATATGGCAAAATATTAATACACTTTAAGCATGGAGGTAGGTACATGAGGATGTTAATAAACATTTTGTATACTTGAAAATTTGAGAAATTTAAGAAATTGAAAAAGTATGTCTGTTTCATCTTGATCATTTTAGGTCAATCCTGCAGAAAGAAAGCAATTTCCCTGGGTTTTATTTATGTTGTGTTCCATTCTCAAAAGCCTAACTTTAGAGTTGTGGAAGAAAATGAAATAGTTTGGAATAACTGGATAACTTAAATTAAAGCAAGATCCTGGCTTATATTTCACTGACCAATAAAACTGTTCGAATCTCAAGATCTCCTTTTGTGACTTCTTTTCATTTTTAAAAGGACAACAACTAAATAAAACCTCTAGGCGTATTAGTGGGTTTTTTGGGGGGGGGGGAGATTGGGAGACAAGCATGATTTAATAAAATACTTACTATCCATCTATTAATTTTTAAATGATCTCACCAATTGGCCTTTCCCCTCTTCCTTTGTCATTCCAATCCTAGATACACAGTATGTACATAGTCTAAAATATACATGTATTTTTACATTTTCTGCTTTAGGAATATCTATTTGCTCCCCACCCTTCCACTCCCAACTCCCAAGTAGTGATTGGTTTTTAGAAAAAGATGTTATTGACTTGATTGTGACTCTTCCACAGAATATTCCTGGGCATTAACTATCTTTGACATCCACTGAAATTCAATCAACCTAGGATGACTAAATTATACAAGTGATTAAAATCAAGTCAAGTAAAAGTCATTTCTATATAATTGGAACCAAATCAAAGCGAGCTTCAGATGCTGTAAATCCAATGGGAGGAAATTGCCTATCTTTCTCCTGTGGAGCAGCTGGTGTATTTGAACTGAATGCCTTTGGGTGGGGAGCAAAACTCCTTATTCACTAAGCCACCAAAATTCCCTAATAAGCAATTACCTGATCCAATACTGAATCTTGATTATTTACAGATGTAGAAACTAATTCTGCCATTTTAGGTTTCAAAGATCTGACCCCACAGTTTCTACCTGCAAAACTCATGACTCAAGATTTAGAGGAATGATTACTCATAGTACTTGGGATTGGACGGGTGTGTGTATAAAATAAGGTAATTATAGCAGCTATTTTTACTAGTTTTATTATTTTCAAATTAACTTTAAAAAGCCATTTCAGAGGGCAAGAAAATGGAAAAGTTAACATTATAATTCGCAAAAATTTAGAAAATGCAGAACACATCGCAAGAGCTGAATTGACTTCAAGGGGAGCTATTTGAACTCTACACCTCACTGCTCAAACCGCAAGTATCAGAACGCCATTTATCGGTTTGTAGCTGTACTGTGGCTTCTGCACGAGGATTCAGAAATGATTCATTTATGCAAAAAAGCTACACCTCCGTAAAACAAGCACTGGCCATCACTTAAATATTTACTACTTTTTAAGCCTTACGCAGCTATACGTGTACTAACAAACATCAACTGAGGAAATGGAAGCTAAATTTCAAGTATCATCTAGAATCTGGAAGGCTAAAACTAATGGAACTTGAAATTAGCCAGAACCTTGACCGTTGGCCAAAGATTCAATGGAATCTGCTCAACTCCTTTCCTCAATGCAAACGGCATTTTTGAGAGATCATAACTTTTTTGAGATAACTTTTTGTTTGTTTGTTTTTTAATATTTTTTCTTGGTTTTCATATAATAATTTCTTTACATTATGTTTCATTCATATACATTGTGTTTTATATAATTTTTTCATTTACATTGTATTCCATATAATCATTCATATGCATTCTATTTTACATTGTATTTTTTAATGGTTTGCTTACAAAAGTTTTTTGTTTTTCTCTTTTTTATTATTAATTTTAATTGAGATAACTTAATCACCTATTTGGCTGATGGGCGGGGAAGCAAATCAGAGAACTCGTCCAAGAAATGGCTAAAAAATTGACCGAAAGATCAAATCAGCGAGATATCACACAGGCCTATCAGGGTAAGTCTTTAAACTCCCTAAATTCCCCCTGCACTCATATTTCCTCTCTAGCCTTTGGGGTGAAATTTATACGGAAGCCAGAAATCCTCATCACCAGATTACACTACGGTCACGCACAGCCTCTTTCAGCATCATTCAACTCTAACTAAAACACCCAAATGCCAAGTCCCCCTTGTGGATGTAATTCAAGCAGACAGATGCCCACATTTACATGAGACTCAAGCCCCTTTTCACCCCGAGCTCGTAGAAGTCTAACTTCTCGTAAACTCAAGAGAAGGAGCTAAAGCATCCGGGAGCTCTCGTGGAACTGAAGGCCTTAGAAGTTCTACTCCGGGCCACACATTCTGAACTTGAAAACTGGGGATCTCTTAACTCGCACTCTGTTGGCCAGGAGATGGGAGTATCTACACGTTCGACTTACCGGCACATTGTTGACACCTTGTCCTTTGGAAGCGATCAGTAGGATTTCTCTAAAATCCATGTTGGCCGAGGTGGACAGATGGGGCCAGGGTCTCGGAAAGGAGCGGAGTGTCAACTTAACACAAACCCCAACAGTCAAATAAACTACCTGGCCAGCTCCGCTCCCACCCCTATTCAACACGACCACTTCCGGCGCCTTCCAATGCCGTAGGCCCGCCCTCTTTCCTCCAGCAGCCTGTATTCTTTCAGGACAGTCCCTTCCCTCGAGACTTCCTCATGAAACTTCCGCTCTTAGGCCCGAGACACGTAGGAACGTGATACGTGGCCGCGTGCGTCAGCCCAAGGGGGTGGGACTAAGCAATTACGGACCAAGGAGGTGAGGCCTAGTTCGCTGTTGGGTGTGGCTAAATGGCCTCATGGGCGGTGTTGGCTCGCGGCCTGTAGGTAGCACGGCTTGTTTGTGAAAGCTAGGAAGGGGGCCATTTACATTGTAAGTCGGTGACATCGCAGCGGAGGCCCTTAAAGGTCTCGAGCAGACGATTGCAGTTACTGGCTTCTGGGCGCTCACAACACCTGCAGCTCTGCCTTGAGTACCTTACTCAACACGTCCTGGCGCAAGCTCACACGTGCCATGCATAGAGACGCAAGCTTAGTGCTTTTGCCTCATGTAAATGTTAAATTCCACAGAGGCTAGCTAAACTATTTTTGCTCAGTGCATAAATGGAGGCAGGAATTAATGCTCTTCACATCCTCACATACAGGCCCCTCTTTGATACACTTTGATACATCTTTTTTTCCCCTGTTTTATTTTTTTAATTATTATTAAATTTTATT